GACGTCTTTGTAGTTTCGGTCAAGTAAGACCAATCTTAAATTCCTTATGGTTCATATTTTCATTACAATTGTATGATTGAATACAAATTAGAAACAATAGTAGTATACTAAAGCCATAACAATCATTTCCTTTTTTATTGAATGACTTAACGAAGATTCAATTTTTGTTGTGGTTTAAGAGAAACATGAGATCATTCTCGGTTTTTGCTGAGGTTCCTGTTGCTTAGCTTGTTTATTTGTTGTTTTGTTGACTGTTGTTTATCTTTTCGTCGTTTTTTTCCTTTTTTTGTGCCATGATTTTGTCAGTCTCTCTTCGACTTAAAATTTTGATTCAATCTGTGGTATCTTCCGCCTCCTTTAATATATATTGTAACCATCAATATATATCTTCTTGTTGAGTTCTGTTATATTTTCATCACTTTCCAGTATACGTTAATCAAAATAATTCAGGGTTATTTCCCCCTTCCCCCCTCCCCATTTCTTTTTTGTTTCAGTTCGATTCTATAAGCTTTAATATTACCAATTCTGAGCTTATTTATTATGGTTTCTGTAAAATGTTCCCCTTCAGCCTTTCCATATTTATAGTTTCATCCAGGGATGACGATAGTAAGAAGGAACTCAATCTTATAATCATAAAATGATCAAATTTGAGAAGGTAGTTGATTAAAGTAAATATCATTTGGTATATTAAATTAATCTTTTTATGTGTTTTTATTTTCATATTGTTTTTGTATCGTGTCTTGTATTACCTTTTTCGTCTTTTTGCAAATATTTAGGTCAAACAATTAAGATATTTCTTTCACTTTCCACAAAACATAGATATAATTAACTTTATGGAGTTGCAATGGAATTTGGTAAAATATCATATTCATATATTATTCGTGTTAATAGCCTTGTTTGATAAATGATTACTTTTGACAAACAACAAACGAGAGTCGAGAAACGATAAACATTTCAAAGGGGTCGTCTCAAAAGACGCATTGATATTTTCTATCGTTAACATAATGCATTATGTAAAGTCTAATGAAACAAGTTAAAGTAAGAATTTTATCATTGTCAGTCAATTAAACTGTGCCCTTTTTCTACCAAACCAGTGCAAAGATTAACCATCTGATTTACTTTCCAGTGCGGATGACGCCACATTATACCAAGTACCGTAACATTTAAGTATGCAAATAGTATGTTCGACATTTTATAACTCTCCATTTTCCAATGCGACGATTTAGCTTCTTGCATTTAAATTTAGAACGGTCTCTTCTTGTTTTATGACTTAATTGTTGTCTTTTTAACGGTTAGCATATATTATATCCGCTAATATAAAAAAGTTTCTTTGGGAATTCAAATTGAAGTCCATGTCCTATATCTGGCATCGAGTTGAATTGTTGTGCATTATTTTGGTGGCCCAGGAAACCGCTGCGAACAAGTCGTATGTGGTTTTAGTTGCCAATCCAAACCTGGTGTGAATACAGTGCATATGTCTGTGTCCGGAATAAAACTGTTCATGTGGCTCAGTTTGCGGGCGATATATTGCATGAGATGTACTGCGTTTGGCAGTCCTAGCCATCAGCCTTGCAAGGACAACCACATGTTATGCGTCAGCCAATCCAATGGAGAAAATATCTCCCACAACAACGGTACTATACCATCAATTGTATGTGACAAAGTAAATGAGGAAATATCAAACAACAAAGACAAAGAACGGATATGTTCTTGGCCACAAGAATACTTTCAAAGGGCGATTTCTGGGAGACCAGTTGCATAAGTGCGATTAAAAGCTAGCAATTGCTAAACATTTTAAAGGCTTTTGGCATTGACTCAGAATATGATTCTTATTCTAAATAAAATAAACACAATATCCTAGAAGATGATTCGTTTATTTTTCTTAATATATCGCTATGTCATAAAAAAACTATAAGTATAATACAGACGTTCTAATTCATGACATGTAGTTTGATTCTTTTCTCTGAACTGCAAAACATTATCGTCGAGTGAGGTATTATTGGCGGATCAAGGGGGTATTTCGGGGGTTAGAACTCCCCCTTGTCTTCCGATTTTTTATTATTTTTTTTTATATGTGAATGTTTTATGGTGTTCCGGGTGTTGGAACCCCACTTTTTAAAATGGCTTGATCCGCGCCTTGGTAGCAATGTTAAAAAGTAATTATTGTACCGAGTAAATTAAAAACTAGTTTGACTCTTTTGAGATGGTCCCTAATTTGAATGTCTCAACTATAGACTCTCGACTCTCAATTGTCAACAATAGTTATTTATCTAACTGTCTAATGAACCTCACTATAGGTAAAATGAAACAACGGTTTACGCAAATACCTTTTCAACTTCATGATATTTATTTATATGACCACAGTAAACTATTGTTGATTATTCGCGGCAATATTCTCATTTATGACACCATGGACATGAAAAATATATGTATCATTTGTTTAGATTTTGGTTAAATTGGTATACAGAATGATCATGAATGGTAGAAATAGCGAATTGGCTAAATTTCAAGTATTTGAAGCAAATGAAATTCGGTGTTATAGTGATATTTCTCCTTCTCTATGTAGTCCTTTCATGCTTCTATCAGATGAAATTATCGAGGTAAATAATTCATTAGTACATTCAAAGAGGATAATAACAACAGACTTATTTTTCGTTATTCATTGGTCAAAATGAAATTAACGATACCAATGTTATTGCACCAGATGCGCGATTCGACAATGAATGTCTCATCAGTGAAGCTGGAGCGCAATATATTTGAAAGTCCAAAATCTAATAAAAACGTAAAAGAGACGTTGAAACCAAAAACGGGAACAAAAGTAAAACGAGACCCGGACAAGTATTCAGGGCTATACATTCCTTAATTCTAAAAGATTTAGAAATTTCATTGTAGCAAATTTAGATAGATCAACATCCATATTTTCATACCAGTACCGAAGTCTTGGCTTCTAGGCTCGCGATACCCTCGGGGACTTACAGTCCACCAGTAGAGTTATCGACCCAGTGGTAGATATAACAATAACGATACCAATTTTATTGTACCAGATGAGCATTTCGACAATATCAGTCTTTCATAAATAAGAAGTATGCATGAGGGAAAAACATTCCTTTAAAATGATTTTGAAATTTGATAACCAGCAAATTTAAATAGATCGATATCGCATTTTCAAAAATCAGGCCTTCGAAGTTTTTTTTAATTTTTTTTTAATAATTTCACATTTTGTCATGTAAGTTGCCTTTTAATGCTGACTATAACAATAACAATCATACATCCCTTTGTTTTTATAGATGACTGAAATGCATGACTTGACGACACTTTTTTTTTAAGTTTCATATAAACTAAAATGTTTGTCAGTCGTATTTTAATGCCGTCTGTATACTAAATTTTGAATTCTAACTAGGTTTTGCATACTTCCTTTTGCATTTAAAAGTTGAACTGATAATAAAAATCTAATAATTTACCAAAAACCTGAAATACAAGGTGATTCATGGCGTGATATTTTACTTTCAGAAATTATATGAGACTCGATATTAATAACTTTGCTCTTCATAGTTTTAAATTTTCAAATATTTTGGCCTCGAGCATCACTGAAGAAATATTTTGTAGAAATGCGCATTTGATGCAGAAAAATTGGCTCCGTTAATGTGGTTACTACCATTAGTACTGGGTCGATACCTCTGCTGATGGACTGTTAGTCTCCAAGGGTATTACCAGCCTAGTAGCTAGTACTTCGGTACTGGCATGAAAATACGCATTTTGTGTAATTAAAATTTGCTGTTTCAAATATTGGAAAGTTGTTTTAAATCAAGGAATATATCTCCCTCATGCAAAGCTCTGATTACTGTCCACTTTTGGCTATACTTTTTGTCCATTGAGGTTTATAAGCTCTTCATAGTTTAATAAGCTTTGGATTTTCAAATATTTTCGCCTCGAGCATCACTGAAGACACATTTTTTGTCGACATGCGCAACTGGTGCAGAAAAATTAATTGGTACCGTTAATGTTATTTACCCTCTTATGAAAATTTTGTTTCATATAGGCTTCTGAACATTTTAATTCCAGTTTGCTTTTACAACTCTCTAATTATGATAAAATGCAGGAGAAAATGGCCCGACTTTTTAGTAACAATATCATACCATTCAAAATATAATTCTTATGAAAGGGATTTGAGAAACCTCAAATGAAAAATCAATTTATAAACTGTTATGTGGTATTCCCGTGCAATTAATAAATATATGTTTCAAGTTACTTTTTTGATTTGTCTTATTTTCGAAAAGTATGAAAATTCCATCTTTTTATTCCTTTTATGCAGTTAAACATGGTCTATGCTCCAGTAGCATCCGAAATTTCATAAAATATCTTAAGATTGACAATTTACCACAACTTTACGTAGAATAGCCTTCTTATCATCAGTAATGATGATGATGGAAGATGGCTGCTTAACGTCCAGCGGCAAATTAATATGCATATTCAGGACGGGAACATGTCAACGTAATATGAATAATAACCATGCGTTGTACTAGACCGACAAGCTGAGCCGGAATTTTAACGTGCTAGTTAACAAGGTAAGAGCCCGCAGTAATATATGTCACCTTACCTGGACACATTATCCTGACTCCAAGCTGACCAGTCTTTGCTCTTACTCATTGATGCCACGTGCTTAGCGGTGAAGCAGCAATACCAATTTTAAAGTCTGTGGTTTGACCCGGCCGGTATTCGAACCACGACCTTCCGCACTCGATGTGAACATGCTACCACGAGACCACCGAGGAGATTCTCTTACCATTAGTGCATTTGATTGCACTTGTATGGTTTTGATAAGCACTATATATAATGGGACAAATAGCGCATACGTCTCTTCCAGTCATAGTTAATGACATCATGTACTTATATAATTCAGACCTTAGGTATCAACTGATGAACAAAAAAGGATATACGGTAAACTAGGTGCTACTCAAACCACAAAAAATTAAAAAAAACAAAAAAAACAAACAAAGGCATCTAAAGGATTCTTAAAAGTAATCATTGATACTAAATTTAGACTTTTTTATACAATGAAATAACCAGAAAACATTGACCAATCACCTCCAATTATACCTTCTCCACTACGATGGTCCTTTTTTATGAAAACCTTGTCTCCTGTCTTTAATTGTAAGACGGCGTTTATCGTTCCGGTCGATAGATTTGTGCCAAAGATCTTTTCTTTCATAGCTTCATTTACCCATAGCTCACAATGCAAATGCTTTGAAGCGGTTGACCTCATAGTTGCAGATATCATACAAAGGCCGTTCCTAGGTGACGTAAATACTCCAGTACTAGACGAGTAATGTCCACCAACATTTGTCTTCACGGAGTCAAATATAATGATCTGATTGACTGGCGGAGTTAAATCCTTCGACAGAGTAGCAGTAAAAGCTGGGCTAGACGTTTGACCTGTGAGTATTGAATAAAATATGTGTAATGTTAGTTCTGTTTATTATCATAGTATATAAATCTCTTCTGGGAAAAACGCATCGAAGGTATTTTGGTTAAACTTCAATGTAAATTTCTTGGATTCACTTATTTTTTGTGGCTACCAATTATCGAGGATTGAGGGGAAATTGTATATTTGAATGAGTACTGTATTTTATGGATTTCATAAAAGCTTTAAATAAGCGTCTAGGATATTTGTATTTCATTGAAATCTTAAATGGTTCACGTATACCTACTAGATCGACGAAATTTAACAAATCTTGAAATATTATGAATTCACTGTAATAGTATACTCCATAGAAATGTTTTAATGGAAAGAGGTATAAGGAATATTCTCTTTGAAAAAATAGGTGCGCTACAGAAACAGATCGACATCCAATCAAGAGATCAACATACAATCTTTAACTTAAGACTATGGTTCAATATTCTCGGTAAAATTTTATCTTTTAATCGGTATCTCACAGCTGCAATATCACTGTTTTACTATACAACCAAAGAACAATTCTACAGATATGTGCGAAGTATGTACTTTCCAAATGTAACATTCATTATATTTTTGCAAATGATAATATATTGTTCAATATTGAACACATTGGAATACAACTTTTACTCCATTCGCTATCCTTCAAGTCCTTTAATCGTATGTTAATAACTTATTCAAAGCAGATTCTAATAAAAAAAATCCATGAAAGCTTTCATATGTGATTCAATGATTGGTTAAATTATAATTAATGTTAAAGAGAAATGCAGTTTGTTCAGGAGTGATAAATGATAGAATCGAGCAATATAAGTCCTTTAAAGTCTACTTTGAACAAAAAATATCTCACAAAAGGTCATACGAAACATATTTAATCATGTTTAGTCTCGTCGGTGAAGTGTTATAAATATATCAACTTTTAAATATCAAGTTACTTTTAATTTAATTTCTTTGTCCTTTAAAAGATTAAAGTTGCTTTTACCAATACAATGAGGGATGGGTAGAGGTTAAATACGCACGAATAATTTAACTCACCACATTCTGAAGTGCCTATAATAAGCCAGGAGTCCAGTTTACTTGTTATGGTTACTCTATGCCGAATTCGTTGTATATATTTCGTTTAGTGTTATTAGCTTTAATCTAGTTGTTAGTTTGTTTTCTCCGTTGTATTGTTTCACAATTTGTCACCTGATAGCTTACTTAACAGTATAGGTTTTGGTCATTGTTTAAGGTTGTGTGCTGACCTATCGTTGTTTACATCCTCATTATATGATTTTTTTTTTATTTTCATACAAAACTGAGATAAATATGGGCAAAAAGTAAAATTAATGATAAAACAATCAACAGTCACTAAAATAACAGTACATCGAACCCTAAAGATTGAAAACACTAACCATTTAAGCACTGTGATGACCTCATGTGCTCAAGAAAGGTAAGCAGTGTCTGCTTCAATATTAATCGCCGTATTATTACTCATGGAAACATCAAGGCGCGTTTATAAGATGTTATTCTTTTGATTCATGTTTTGTGATCCCAATACTTGGACTCGGTAATGATTTTGATGTTACAAAGTCTAAGTGCAATGTCAAAGCTTCTAAAAATAAATGAAAAAATATGCAAAGAAAAGTCGTCTACGAATGCATTGTAAACTGAGGTAACGGTCATATTAAAAATAGACTTATAAGAGTTGAAAATATAGTCTAAAATTATAATTTATATGGGAGCAAGGAGTATGTGAGATTGCCCACTAAAGGTTCTTTATTATTGATACATTTATCCATCTTAGTTTCCTCTTTGTGTCGTGTAGAACAATGCTATTGCGAAATGTTATATAAAATTACCTCCACCGTGACCTTTACTGTTCTTCAGTTTGAAGATAACGTTAAGTAGATCTTCAACTATCTCATTTTCTGTATTATAAAAAGTAATCACAAATATAATTTAATGATGTCATAATTAGAAAAAGTATTTTTGATATTTTTCTTCAATGATGCACGAATTTGTTTAGTAACTACAAGAAACAAAACAAATTGCAAATAAGGTAGATATGAGTTCACAAAAGAAAGGAAAAAGTCCATCTCATAAAGGATTTTGCCATATAAACTGGATCAAAATTGAATTATTTAATATCTGACGTTTTTAAGAGTTCATTTTTGATTCGTTTGTTGAAACGTTTTGAATTACGTCAGAAGTTCTCTATGCATGCTGATTTTTGTAAGAGTGGCGAACTACACTAAAAGGGATATCCAACTAAAAACTCGAAAATAAATTGACAATACCATGGCAAAAGAAAACGATCAAAAGACAAATAACAATTTACAAAACACAACATAGAAAACTGAAGACTCAGTAACGCAACACGAACATGGTCACATAGGGTAAATGTGACAGGAATTCTGAAATAGGATCTGATAAACAAAACTGTCATAGAGGAGTACAAAGGCGGTATTATTGATAACAAGCTATGATTCTAAAGAGACTACATAATGTTTAAATTGCGTAGACTGGAGATCTGAAAATAACATTAACGTTTGTAAATGTATGTAAAATCATATTATTTAGTAGTTTAAATATAATTTCTTTTTTTTTTCATTTTTTTTCAATGTTGAATTAGAAATATTTTTTAACGACATCATCTTTAAGATTTTTTTAAATCTTTGAAATACAGAAACATATATGAATACAAAAGCAAAAACATTAAAACAACACAATTCATGCGTCCGAAGCAATAATGAAAACTATTTCAACTTAGGAATAGAATGTTGGTCATATCAGTTGATATAATTGGAATTAGTAAAAAATTGAGGGAGAAGCGGCACTAAAGTGAACCAGTATTAACCCGTTATATAAGCTATTAACCAGGATTAATTCTTTACTAACCTGATAAAGTGTCTGTAGCAAGTCAAGTGGATGTTTTGGGTTTAAACTGAATGTTTCAAATGTCCTTGGAGATTAGTATATACGTTTTCTAATACTTTATAAATCTATTTTATCCTTACATTTTAGATAAATTATACATGTTTGACTTACTATGGCACTGAATCAGACTTCCATAACAAAGCAAACTTGCCAACAGAACACTAAAAGTCATGTCTGCAGTTGTATTATGTCAGTTAAGACTACACAATATTATAAATATTCGTGATACGCATAAAAAAAGTTTCAATGATAGATAGAATTGTAACATCTGTTAATAAAAACGATATAACTGCTTCCAAAATTATTGAATTTGCGTGATGCATAAAGAAAATGTCAAATTATCAGCTTGATATTTTCTAAACTTTTGCCAAAAAATAGTGGGAAATATAAAAACAAACAAAGCCTAGAACCATTGCTATAACATATCATGATGAACATACATTTTTTATATCCTTTTGATTAATGGTTTATTTTCTATTTTGTCAAATTTGATGTCGCTAATGTGTGACTCATACCGCTGTCTAACTGATATATATATATATGACACACGAAAGAATACACAGCTGTGGTCTCATATGGTGTCTACAAGTCCATTAGTTTTACCCATCATTATTATTTCAATGACACGTTTTGTATAAATAGTTGCTCTCGTACAATGTTCTCTTTTTATCACTATATCTGGTTAACAGATTGAAGATAAAGATTTAAAAAAAAAACACTTATCGCAAAAAAGATTTAAAAAAAAAACACTTATCGCAAAACAATTGGAAACACGATTCGAAAAATGAAAAAAAATGACTGTCACTGGTGTATTCTTAATTTGGTGAGCTCAGACTCCTTATCCGGATTAAGCTTTACTTTTAGATCCTTTTTAGTTTTAACAACTCTACAATGTTTGTACAAGGTTTTGGATTTTCAAATATTTTGGTCTCGAGCATCCCTGAAGAGACATTAATTGCCGAAATGCGAATCTCGTGCAGTAAAATTAGTACCGTTAACATTATTTGATTATACACTTTACAAGAGATAAAGGTGATCTCATTAAGAATTATGTTTTACGGTCAACATATTTTAAATTCATCTGACAATTATTTGACTTACAAAACTTCTAGACTTCATACAACTTTTAAGACCATGTGCAAGTGTTATATTCATACTAAATGAAATATAAAGGAATTCCATACAGGACAAACACATCTAGTTTAAGATTGAAATCATGAATTCTTCACTTTTAAGACTTTGTAAGTGGTTGCAAATGACCCCATACAAGGGTTGTTAAAAGAGAAATGTATAAATACGAATATATCTCTGACTCTAGAGGATTTTGTAAATTATAAATGAAGACCGTTAAATTATTAATTTTTGTAATAACTGTGTTTCCTGGTTTTAACACTTAAGACGACTTTCATTCTAGAATATCTGTAAATGCATTTAGTATCTACATATTTTATATATCACCACCTTCTACAGATATTTGAATCTTTCACTATTTTCTGCTGCATTATTATATTTGCCTCAAGAAAGACATTTATTTAAAATAAACAAAAAAGATAGATCAAACATAAACTGGAAACATTTAATATTCCTAATTTATCAAGCAAAAACGTCTAATGTGTTTGTCTGTTGTTTCTCCTCTTTTAGCATTTTTTGCAACCTTTGAGTAATATCATTCCGAAAAGAAAATTTATCATGGAAAAGCCTCAAAAGCAAACAATTATCTTTTTCATATCACTTCTATACTATGTACTTAGTCGGTACTGTTGTAAAGACTATTTGTAAAAATAAAACGTTTTGTGCAGGAAATACATAAAGAAAAACGTTTCCATTTCAATGACAAAAATATCTATCAGTATTGAAATAAGGAGATGTTGTAGGATTGCCAATTAGACAGCTATCCACCAGAAAAGGTGGATATAAGCAATTATAGGTCAACGTACGGCCTTCAGCCATAAGAAAATAAAACATATTGTCTAGTCAGCGTTATAAGATCCAAACATGAGGTTGAATATAAATATAATGTGAGTAGGGTTAGATGAAAAAATCAAGCCCATATGACAAGTTCAATAACTTTTTTATTGGTAAAGGCAAGTAAAATGACACCAGGGTACAAACAAACTATCCATAATATATATAAAAATAAGAAGATGTGGTATGATTGCAACTGAGATAAATCTCCACCAGAGACAAAATGACATAGAAGTTAACAACTATAGGTCATCGTATGGCCTTCAACAATGAGCAAAACCCATACCGCAGTCAGCTATAAAAAGCCCCGAAAAAAACAAACGTAAAAAATTCAATCGACAAAACTAACGGCCTGATATATGTACAAAACAATGAACAAAAAACAACTATGATATACAGCAACAAACAACGACCACTAGTAAAAGCTCCTGACTTGGAACAGGTACATACAGAATGTGGCGGGGTTAAACATATTTGCGGGGACCCAACCCTCCCTTAACCTGTGACAGTGGTGTAACAGCACAACATATGAACAAACTAAAAAAATCAGTTGAAAAGTGCTTAACTCATCAAATCGATACATAGCAGGAAAAAAGTAACAAAAACACAGACCGGACGTGGTATTAACATCCCTACAACAAAAAAAAAGACGGATCTTAGAGTATTCGCAGTTACTGATAGCTAGTTAAAAGCCAATAGCAACTAATAAAATAATCATGCATCTAACACTGAAATAGCAATAAGTACACATCCAATGTTGGATAAGTCTAAAAGCCAGACTACTACATGGTAAAAAAAGAATATCACAAAATGAAAGACTAAAGATTGAGCAACAAGAACCTTGGCGAAAGTGAACTTAGATACTCCATAAAGTATGTGAAAAAACGTCCAGATGATGCTTTTCTTTAACAACAACCAAATCTTGAGAAAAAATTTCCATTTAATGGCAATATTGATTTAATTGTTTTTATTCTATCAGACTTCATCTCTGTAAAATTACGTTGAACTAAATGCCACTTTTTTACTTTAATGGCCTTTGTCAAACTGGACACAAAATGTTTAAGAAATATCGTGTTTCTTATAAATTAAATGAACTCAGTTTTACACATAACATGTGGTTGTTTTGATTTATGTTCTTTATTTTTGGGATCATGTTAAACGAAACACATGATGCAGATCAATATAGAGAGGTATTTGATTAGACATGGTTAATATTAATTGTCACTTTGGTTATTTCATTGTTTTATTAAGCAATTTATTATCTTTTTTGGACTTTTTATATTCTAATTAATTTCATATGTACAATTCCGACAGACATAAAAGGCTTTCCATTCCATAATCAAATATAAAGACTATCGTTTAATACAGGTCATCGAACAACTATTTTCGATATTCAATTAAAATGATATGAAATCAATTTATATTCTTTGACACAACTTTTCCGAATGTTTGATTTTCAATGCTCTTCATTTTTGTATTCGATTTGGCCTTTCATTTTTTTTTTTTTTTTTTTTTTTAATTATTCGAGCGCCATTGATGTAGACGAAACGCGCTTCTGGAGTACAAAATTATAAGCCTGGTAATTTTTGTGAATTCTTACAACCACTGGGTCGATATAACTGCAAGTGGACGTTTCGTCCCTGAGTATATCATAATACTATTGATCAGGACTTTATTGAATAGTTTCCAGAAGTAAATACGAAATATTCCACATAAAATTTCTTATTATAGTCAATATATATTTTTGGCAGCTGCCTGGTCCTTTTGCACTATGCATTTGACCGCGGAAAAAACTAAGGACTTTTTATGAGAAACGGAAACAAAAACGGTTAGTCTTTTTTTTATGGTGTATGAGTCATCAAACGGACAGTCATCTTTCTATTATTAAAATTTGTTACAAAGCGATAAATATATTGCTGTTGTGTAGTTATGGTATGTTGTAAACGCAGAATTCCGAGCGTTCATAATTTATAAATAAACATCATCTTTGTAGAAAATAACACGATTTATTCGCACTGCATGTATTATACAAACGTTACATAAAATACAAAACACACGGCATACACTCCGACAGTTCAAACCATGTTCATTCATAAACAGTCCCATCTAAAAACATCTCTCTCCTCTCACGTCACTATCACACAATGTCAAAATACGGGTAACAACGTTAATACTGTAGTGCGTAATTACGGACATGTAGACAAAGTCACTGTCACAACATGGTAATCTTAATAATGATATATTTGCTTTATACAATACCAGAAAAAGGTATATTAGTTAAATGTTTAAGATATATTGCTAAAACAAATAAGTAGTAGTTAAAAAGAAATAACACTTTTGTCCACGGTAGGTATAGTGTCCGGCGGAGATCGTGTTTTTTCGAGTGAATCGGTCCACTTTTTTCGAGTGTAGATCAGGATTTTTTTCGAGTGCTAATACATGCGATCAGATCAATTTACTGCTATTGCGCATATATGATAGTTTTATTCGTGACTGTTCATCTTATTCTGAATACTAAACATGTTTTGAGCACAAACGGCGCTCAATTTTCTTGCAGTTCACTAATAATTCAATGTTTTTACATTGTCCGTGTTTTTTCGTGAGCAACATTTAAAACGTCCTGGTTTTTAAACAAATGGTCCGGGTTTTTCAAAGAAAATGTGAATGAGAAAGAAGGCCTTTCTGGGATTAAAAACTAACTTCTTCTAGTTTGTAACTGTAATTTGGGGAAGGGCAATATTATATATTACTAATAAGTAGCAAAACATATTTCTATTCTATGTTGGTCAAATTTAACCCTTTTCAATTTAATGATTATTTTCTGTTCTGAAAACATTTAATCATAACCTTGCAGTATTAAGATATATTACAAATTACTAGATTCTTTGTAAAATGCTTTAGAACCGAGAACAGGGGACTCATAATATTTTCAATATTATTTCATGCCACAATATTTTTTACAGCAAAGAAAAGTTTATGATTTATATATATAACAATGTCGAAACCTGGAGTTTTAAGAACAGGGTTAAGAAAACAAAGGGACAGGAGTTATAAATTCAGTAAAATGCAATATACCACAAATATTCTAATAAGAGAGGCCTGGGACCAGCCAATTACAAATATACCATGCTTTTTACGAATGTACTTGTTACGTACTAAAGTATTATCAAACTGGTAAAATGCATTGGTTTCATGCTTTGAAAAGTACTTTATTTTAACCTTTTCATTGTTTTTTT